ATATGTATATATATGCATATGCATTATGTTTGTGTTACTAAATATACTCATATATATACGGATGTATCTGTACAATTTTTAGGTGTCGCTACTCGTATAGTTAGTAGAGCGCTCGTCATATAGGACGATCGTATGAATGCTACTAGCAAATCCACGAATATCATTAGATATACCACTACTGCCACATGCATATTTGAGTTGACGCCATATGCTACTACAACTAACGAATATCAAATACACCCCTATAGCAAGAATACATGTTATATATATATATATATATATATGTTATACTTATCATCGTATGACGTACTTCCAGCGCAAGGTCTGGAAAGAGGGGTTGAAGGGGACTTGCTGTGGCACGATATGGGTCAAGGAATGTGCTTCCGGCCCGGTACTTTCGATGGTGTTGTCAGCATTTCTGCATTGCAGGTATGAAAGTTACTGGGTATGGTGCTTATATCGTGAATTTTATACATATATGTATATATATGTTTGTATATGTATGCGTATATTTAAATATATATATATATATATATATATATTATGTAAGTGTGTATGTGTAGCTTTCATTATTCATGTATAAGTGTTTTGTGAGTATGCGTGTGGATAAAAGAATGCATAGATTTATAGTGCCAGTATAGTATTTCGCGTACAGATACGTTCGTATGCAATTTTAAAAAACGGCCAACATATCTCCCCTTAGGTAATGACTAGTATACATATATGTGTGTGTGTATATATACCGTAATATATACGTATATAAATACGAATATATATCCCGTATATATATAAGAGTACTGTATATACATGTGATTTAGCATATATCATCTCATCCGACCCAGAGTATCGGAACTGCTTTCGTATCGTCACTTACTTCTCACCTCATGCGGATTGCAATTTATCACTCAGTGGCTGTGCAACGCCGACAAATCTCATCACGTTCCTAAGCAACGCTTGAATAAGTTCTTCTCGACCCTGTACAGTGCTATGAAACGAGGGGCTCGAGGTATGCGGTGTATTGTAGTATCCTATTGATATACATGTCTATATTTGTGAATTAATATGTATATATGTATATATGTATGTATGTGTAAGCATGAATATATATGTATATACATATGTATATATATATATATATGCATGCGTGTGTATGTGTGTATGTGTGTGTGTTTATATATATATATATATGTATGTAAATATATGTATATGTATGTTATATATTATTATATATATCCTTTACATTGTTTGTCGTGTGAACATGCAATTGCGTACATACTGTTGTGAGAATACTTCATCTCGTTTTAGATGTAAGTTACTGCCTTTCATGTGACAAGTGCCTTGGGATACTCGGAGCATCTCTTTTTCTTTATCTGTATTGTATAAGTATATATGTGTGTGTGTGTGTGCGTGTGTGAATGTATAAATATATATATATATATATGTGTGTGTGTATGTATATAGTTCTTGTTCTTGTTCTTGTTCTATATTAAGGGTCTGTTGTGGGGTACAAGCTTCAGCTGACCTCTGTCACATAACACGTATGTGTAAGTTATGTGGGCTGTGTGTCTCGAGAGATGCACCGTATTATGTGGATGTTTATATATATATATATGTATATATATACATCTATATTTATCTATATCTATATCCACACTTATATCTATATATTGAAACTTATCTTCCAATCCGGCCATAGGCACTCATTCCGGCATGACTCATTTGTCCTTTTATATCATCCACAGCCGTATTCCAATTTTATCCCGAAACACCGCAACAAATGGAGCTGATTACACAGTGCGCTATGAAGGCTGGGTTCACGGGAGGTGCTGTTGTTGACTACCCTAACAGTACCAAGGCTAAAAAGTACGTATACCTCATACGTTTTGCTCTAGGTCTTGATTGTGACCGTGGCTACGTGGTCAGTTTGTGATACCTTGTGTTGGAGGTTTTGCTGGTGATCAAGTCTAAGAAGTACGTTTTCTATGCATTGTTTTAAAGAGTTCTTGCAAGTTATAAAGGGCAAAATTTAGTACTTATGTTTTGCGTTGTGTTTCAAGTACTTGTCCACTAACAAGGCTGAAAGGTACGTTTATTGTACGGTTTGTTCATATTCAAGCCTGTTACCTGGACTAAGAAGACATTTTTTATTATCCTGTATTGTGGTGTAGCACTAACAGAGTGGTCAAGTCTCTCGCCTTTGTATGATAATGCCAAAGCCGTGCGAAGAGCAATATGTTGATTAATGATATGCATGTGTGTGTCTAAATGATATATATATATATACATATATATGTGTGTGTGTGTACATATATATGTATATAAGTACATATATATATATATATATATATATATTCATGCAAGCGTCTCGAACTGGTATCTTCTCATTTGATGATACTCTCGGGATGCACTTTTGTGCTGCAAACAAACATTCTCGGAATTAGTTTCCACCTATTGTCCGAATAGTTCATCGCATAGACTAATATCGTATTAATTATTTACACATTCAGGATCTTCCTCTGTTTGTTCGCGGGTGTGGGTGCCCAAGTGCCTGTGGGTCTAGAAGGCCAGAGTGCGGAGGAGAGGAATTTTAACTCAGTGACATATGTCGAGTATGTTTAGATTTTATCGCGGGCCTTCTCTATTTATATATATATATATATGTTTGTGCGTATATATATATATAAATGCATATATGTATATATATATATATATATATATATATAAATGTATACATATATTCTATCTGAGTTGGCGATTCTATATACTTTAAGTGGTCTGCCTGCACGCATTGACTATTCTAGTGCCTCGTTCTATGATTAGACATACGTCGCCTTCTGTCCGCGTGTTCGCGTGTTGTTAAATGAGTACTCTGTGAGTGTGTATATACACTAGCTGATTTCCGGTGTTAGTTGCAACGTATATGAGCTCAATGGCGTTTGTTTTTGTATGTATTGGTTCCTATCAACTTGCGGAATGGGACTATCCTGAACTGCGGAATGTCACTGCTTGATTCTGTACGACGATTCTACTGAACAACGTGCCTCATAGTCTCCCAACCTTTGAAGCGCAGTTGTTGACCTCTTGCACTCCTGCTTCTGTGTGTATCGGTTGTATGCGTACAAATCATACTCTTTAATAAAAACGTATACGCAAGTGTTGCTTGTTTCTTGGTCTTCTATATCGTATACATATGCCTACGCATACCCGTTCTGATGGTTACTAGTACTTTATCGATGCCGCCTTTGAATGAACTTTTCACTACAGGCGTACGAAAGCACGTGGCAAAGGGAAGCAGGGCAAGGAAAGGGGAAATGTTAAGAACAGAGATTGGGTACAGGCTAAGAAGGAACGAGCCAGGAAACAAGGGAAGGAAACCAAGCACGACTCCCGATTCACAGCGCGACAACGCAAACCTAAATTCTAAGTCAAATAAAATATAGAGGCATATATATATATATGTATACATATATTTATTTATATAATATATACAAATGCATATATATATATATATAAATGCACAATATTTATATTTAAATATATACATATATATATATATATGTGTATGTATGTATGTATAAATAATGTATAGTTATATCAGTATAGTGCTTTGGATCTTTGTGTTTCAGATAGATATGTGGGTGCAGACGTCATATGTGATTTAGTAATCGATACTGTGGTCTTATTAGAGCTTTTAAGTTCGAGTATTATTTTATTTCCTATAGATAGATACTATTGTCGCTATTACATAGAAAAATTCATGCTCAAGTACGGATGGACAGGGCCGAATAAAGATATTACATCAATGAACGTGGAACGGTTACGAAGAGTCAACATATAAGATATTACATGCTAAAAAAGTTTACTGCTTCTGAACCGCAGAATCATTCGAAAATTTACATACTGAAAAATCATACTGTACTCGAATCCATAGTCGAACTTTTTCTAACAGTATTTTTTAAAGCAAGCAGATGCGAAGAGTTCCAGAGCCAATGAACCTATTCAAATAGTAGAAGAAGAGTCAACATCAGAGATACTACATGCCGAAAAAGCTTCCTTCATTCGAACACATGGTCAATGAACTTCTTCCAATAGTCTAACAAACAGATACACAGAATTGACAATGATAACAATCAAACGATGGGAAAGCTTACCACATTCGTACCAATAGTTGATGATTCTTTTCCAATAGCATGGCAAACAGATAAGCGTAGGGTATCGATATGCACACACTTCATCCTCTTGAACATTTGTTAGTATACAGACAATTGCGCGGAAGCAAATAAAAACAATTGAGTATTCTTGGTTGACGCTAATTTTGGCTGTCTTAAGGTGATTGCAATCCACACAGCCACACACTACAATTCATGCAACAGCATATATGCATACTAGTATATCGATTATTTATAGCATATATATATATATATATATGGATATATATATATATTATTATTATTT